GAGGAGGTGGTGCGTGGGGAGCGGGGGGGGGGGGGGGGGTGCGCAGAGGAAACATTAATAAATTTGTCTAGTAGAGCAGGATAGGAGGCATTACTGCACTGGTCTGATCAACTAAATAACATGCTTATTAAAAACAATCTGTAGGAACGCACTATCATTCCTGTTCCTATTTATCTTCTGGTCAACTCAATTGAGATTGTGCATTAAAGCACAGGCAGCATTATTACATTTGCTTTATTAAATTCTATAAACAGCACTGTAAAGTCAGAGTCAAGATATTTATAAGATAATGGCAAACAGCGGAGGCATCGAGACTTGCCGTAACACTAACATTTGTAGACCATAATATTTTTTCTTTCTTAATTGCCATTCTCACAATAGCAAGTGTTTCACAAAACTCTTCCCCTAGATCTTTATTCTGTGCTCACCCTAATTTGAAATAAACCAAAACAAAAATAGAAAAAAACCTCTAGCTCCTAGTTCCCTTCTGGGAATGTGGGAAAATTATGAAAGAATTACACAACTCACAGCACTCATTAGGACATCTGAAATGGAATAATTTTAAATAAAGAGTAGACTGGCTGCAAGGCCTTCCCGTACTAGGGTTGATATTAGAAGCGCATCTCATTATACCAAATTAGTATCCAAAAATTCTGCCTAACACATAATTTAAAACATAAAACATACTGGCTGTCAAAGGTAACGATACCTTATGCCTGCCTGCAGGCAGCCATTAGTTTCAATAGGACAGACAGAGAGAACTGAGTACCAGCTACTTTTCAAATGGCTACATCTAACAGACATGGAAGGATACGTAATATTAGGAGGAATCAAATGTTTCTTTGCAAGACAGTGCAAGTCCAAACACAGGAACAGAAGCCAGGAATTCCAAACCCAACATTTATTCCCTCTGTGGCTTCACAGAAATCATACAGCCTTTGTTAGCCTCAGTTTCCCAGCCATGATATTTGGATAGTAAGACAGCTTACCCTTTAAGGATGCTGTGAAAACAATCAATGCTTAGAAACTGAGGATTATATTCAGTATGTCAGTTGGTATTCCTATTTACAAGGCATATTCTCCAAGTCAACATGAATTGAAATAGAAGTGAGATTAGCATAAAAAGTCGAGCAGTACTTCTTTGGCAGTATCCCTTATCTAAAAAAGGAGAAAGAAAAGGGTGCAGAAATAGCGAGGTCTAGAGGACAAACAATGAAAAAGTAAAAAGGCTAAAGAAGCAAGTTAAAAAATACATTTTTGCCTATTACAAAAAAATAAAAAAGTTTTAACAGTAAAAACATAAAGGACTTTTTTTGGTTTATTTTGTTAAGAAAGGAAAGCGCGAATCCTCAAAGTGCAGAGAACAAAACTTAGGGGACCAAATTCTGCCATACTTCCATCCAGACTACGGTGTCAAATTGCACAAAGACCTTTTTCTCTCCTCTAAATTGCCTCTCCAAAGAAGGGTGCCTTGCATCTCCTTTAGCCACCTATGCAAAGTAGAAGGGTGTACAGACTTCCAAAGTAAGGTAATATATCTCTGTGTCAGTGGAAGGGCAACACGTACAAATCAGTATTTATGTTTATTCATAGTAACCTACACAAATGCTTGCAATAAGGTAAATGCTTAGAATCGATGGAGCATTGATATGTGCTGCAGCAGCAGTAGCCAACTACTTCTACCAACAAGCAAATTATTTTAATTCCATAAAAATATGGATAAAAACAATTTTACTTTTTATTCAGGCTTCCACATTTTTCTAACACTAGACAAGCACACCATCAAACATCACTCCATTTCTGAAACCATATACATGTAGTCTTCCATTGTGTTACGAGCTCTGGAACCACCGGTTGCCTCATTACAATGGTAATAACTTGGTGTGGATTTTACTTGTTTTAAATCACGGATTTCCTGTTTCTGTAAAAAGAGGTGTGCTTTCTCATTTTACCGTCAGATCAAATAAACTCTGGGTTTATGAAAGAAGGGAATGTTTGTGCTACCTGAATGAGGACTGTGCTGGATGTATCGTTACAGCAGTAGCATGTGGGGTTATTTTCTACATCCTACAACTGCGTAAGGAATTGCAGCCATTTATCTGGATGCAGATATTGTAATCACGAACAAGCCTTTCACAAACATAAACCGTGCCTTTGCAAGCACGGATTACTAAAATGGAGTGAAATTTTAGGTCAAGCTGGAAAAGTAACAGATAAAATGCAGAAGCCTGCCTATATAACGGAAACTCAAGTCACTACTAGTCCATAATTTGCACCTGGCTGCATACTGGCATCCAGACTTAATACAATGTTATTTAATTTGAAATGCAAGGGTTCAGAACTCCCCAACATATGAGAAGACCTCTCTCCTGCTACCAGCATTGCCAGGGACACATACTACCACCCTCAGTGGCTCCCAGACTATAAATACAGACACTGGCTTCTTCACCGGCGGTATTCCCAGTTCCTCTGCTCTCCCAGACCACGCCAGGCCAGTCACAGCACCCACAGAACTCGGCTGCCCAGTACAGCCAAGATTAAGCTCAGGAAAGTCTTTTTAAAGGAAATGAATGACCTTTTGATGGTGAAACAAATAAATAATTAAAACCCTACACCCGCAGAACCAACCCCTTGGATAAATCTAGGGAGATTGGGTAGAGATATAGGAGTATTTCTAAAATGATAAATGGCTTTGATGCTTAGAATTTCAACTACTAACATCAGTTCTTTCAAGGAAAACTCAGGCAAAGTAAAATCAAGCAAAGCATCACCACACTCTGATTCAAAGACAGATTCAAAGTGCTCTCTGCAGACTGATGGAACCTGAATAATACTTGAATTTGGAGATTTCCTTTCCAAACATTCTCCTCCTTTTTGCATCGGTGTAAGATTATGACCACAGTTTCTCATTTTGATATTTTGGCAGCAAATGCAGTGTGCCTTGGTCCTACTTTAATGTTGCCATAGAGGTGGTAACAGCAACAGAAGTGATTGGGGGAAGTTGAGCCTTCTTCAGCTATGTGGTAGCCGTGAAGACTTCAGCATAAACAACTGAAGAGATATGGAGATTAGTTGATACAGGGAACAATAAAGTAAGAGTTTTGATTACAGTGAAGTCGACAGAAGAGCTTTACATTCTCTCAACAAGCCCCAGACGCAGAGGTGATGTCAGCTACTCGGAAATCTGCACAACAACAAAGTTATCACCTTAAGGTCTCCCCAAAATCAAAAGCCCCATTAATACAATGAAAAGCATATTTGTTTCTGCTGAAAAGATTAGCAATAAGTTACACAATAAAGATGGCATTAAAATAAAATGCAAAATAAAAGTGCCAATGTTGACACTACTTCATTTCATATGGAAAGGTGTTTCTGCTTCCTGACCTCTCTTACTTGCCAATACAAAGAAAGCACTATTGTATGGCAAAACATTGGGCTTTCCTGTAGAAATCTATCCAGTCGTATTTCCATGGTTGTATAAATCTCACTGCAGTGATACACTTGAAATCTGTGCTACTGCTACAGGTGCAAAACTCCAAGATCTCTGCTAGACTGCAGTGCACTCAGCTTCAGTGACCAAACAATATTTACCAAGCAGCATTTCAGAATTTAGTTCAAAAATTCTCATCCAATTTCACTTTCTTCAAATGCCACAAAACATCAATACTTCTTTAATATCTCTACTCATTTCCTCCTTTCACTCCACCAGAACTGTTGCTTCTTACAGTGAACAGAACTGGAAGCAAGGTTTTGGCAGAAGCCACACACATTTCCAGGAACTAGTCCTATCCAAGTTTAAGCTGAAAAAGATCCTTGCACACCCTCCATATGCCATAGAAAATAATCCAGTATGGGTATTCAACCAGTTGATTATTATGTCATTTAGTTACATGATATTTATAGAAAATTGCATTAATCCAACAGATATCAACTCCCATGTTGATGAACTCACTTTTCAACTTCTACTTAGTAATTTGTTCATAAGCATTTACTTATTTTTGTCTGTGCTTCAAGTATGCAGTTTACACTAAATACATGTACATTTCTGAAATCATACCTGTTATACTACCACAAAATACAATACAAAGTGTGAAAGAGAACACATTTTTAGAGTTAATTACTTTTTAACAAATTTTTCAAAATACTCAATAAAGAAAAGCTAGTTTAAGTATGGAGTATAATACTGGCATTCATAGAGGAAAGGATAAATTGGTTACATCTGAGTTCAAGTCTGCTTTCATGTGGTATCATGGAGCTGTGCCAAGGTAC